AAATATTATGTAAAAGCGTACCTCAATAATTGATAGAAGCCTTGTATTTATAGAGGTAGGTAGTGAATTCCGGTAGAACTTGGTTGCTAAGTATCCTGATTCTTAGAAGTCCCACTTGAGATGAGTATTGGATTGCAGTTGTGAGTCCATTCATAGTTCGACTATAATATTCACCGATATAGACTCCTTCTAGACAAAGGAGTCTTGAGTTGAGGCATTTAGACAGATTTAGAATCCTTGAAAGGTAAGATCAGTTATGTTTAGGCGATAATGAGTTTGGCAAAAGAAAACGCCAGATAACATGACTTTCCTTGGTCAAAATATCTCGAGGACTAACCCCGATGACGACCACCACAGGTACCATAGGACCTGCAACGGAAGTCCTCGAGGTATTTCAAGGACTACTTGAAGCTCGAGGATGAGGGGTTTCATATTCGTGAATATCTATCCTCGGGACTTCATAGATCGAGCTGAACGATTATGACCATATCAGATAATTTTTTGTTGTTTTTTTCAAATGTCACTACCTCTTAGCAACTGTTGCAATGTAGCGCTGTCGACTATCATCCCTCAAACAAGAAATTTTGTCTTTGCCATACGGTCCAAAATGGTTGAGAAAGGTAACACAATAACCACACTTCTAATGTTAAACGTTATGTGGTCAAGTCTTAAGCCCACTTAGCCAACAACTCAATACCTGTATTGCTAGGTTTTTAGTTATGCAGGTAATTCTTTAGACAAAAGGATTATTGTAAAAGAATATGATTGTTACAAAAGAGTTGTAAAAGTAAATGAGCCTTTTGAAGGGTAGTATAGTTCTAGAAGCAGTTCAAAATGCCCAAGAATATCACATATGATCAAGGAACTGCAATTAGAAGTCTAAAGAGTATCAAAGAGCTGTAAAAGTTATAGCCCCTGTTTGACCCCCATTAAATTCCATTACATTACATTAAATTAAATTTTTCTCTCTTTATTACAACCACACATTTTCTCCATTCATTACAACCACACATTCATCCAATAAAACAAGATTACGCACAAATCTAAAACTTTTCACTACTTTTACACCACACATTCTCCCATCAATCACTATTCCAAAAATTTTTTAACTATAAAAAATGTACAATAATGGGGGCCAAACAGGGGCATATTCCAAATTCTCAGTCGTAATTTACAATACATTTTTCACATAAAAAACATTGGAATTTTGGACACGACTATTTTTATAAGAATTGTAGCCATTTGAGTTAGATTTTCAACGCATTTTGAATCACCTCAATTGGATATTGGGAAAGAAAGTTATAACAAAAATACTGACAACGGCTCAACTGCTGGTCACCTATCACTGGCTTGGCGCTCGAGCGACGGTCGATGATCAGAAATCTATTTTGCTTCAAATATTTGGTTTTTCAATCCATTTGCGACAAACACTTTTCCCTATATATATCCTACTGTATGAATGTCCAAAAGTGTGGTTGATCATTATTTTACATCTTCATAACATCATTCCAAGATTCAAGAGCATACCCAAATCTTGAGATTAACTTTTTGATTCTTGAGATCAATCAACGACGAATTCGGGAAAAAATATTGAAATTTTTATAATCCAAACACCAACTTTCTAGATATCCTAAAGAATATACTTTCCAAATAACCTTCAGAGGTTGCTGAAATTTGAGGGATGTTGGACCGGAAGCACGTGAATAGTATAAGAACGAAGCTTTCTCGGTGTTTTAAAGGAGATAGACAATTCTAGAAGATCGAGAGCATGTGTGAGTGAAGTATGTTTTAGTGGGTTTTGGAGATTGCAGAAATTAGATCAGCAATCTAGTGAGTTTTTATGTTGGATCATACTGTAAGTTCTTATTGACTATAGTGAAAACTGCTGGTTTGGTCCCGAAGTTTTTACCCAATTGAGAGTTTTCTCCGTCATTAAATCTTGTGTTATTTACTGCTTTAATTTTTTATTGCAATAATTCAACATATGATAATTTGAATTGATTGATTAAACATCTAAAACAATTAAAAAGTGATTTATTGCTTTTAATTGATAAATTTAATTATGCGTTGTTCACTTATCAGGTATTTTAGGATTGAACTACTAACTTTCGTATATGATAAATTCTTCATCCGGTTTTGTTGTGCCACGACAAAGCCGGGCAAGCTCCTGCGCCGACCAAAGTATGGGAATATTCACACAATAAAAAAATCCATCTTATTCAAGTCATGCGTCATCATTTCTTAAGACAAATTTAAGCATCAAATCGGGCTCACATTTACACACGTGTCAATTTACTATCTGCTAATTGAACACAATCTTTCAGCATTTCACTTAAATTTGTTTTTCTTTATAATTAACTAAGCATGCTTGATATAGATAGATTTAGGGTGTGTTTGATAGATATTATTGAGGAAAGAAAGTATTTTAAATAGTGAAATGATGAGAAATATGTAGTTAAAAATTAAAGAAAAATTATTGATGTGATGAAAAATATTATTTATTGAAGAATGCGTGATTGAAAATGAATTTTGAAATAATATGTGTCAGACATGGTTCAAATAACTAAATAGTGCTTGTCTAGATTAGACATTTTCAACCATATGCTACAGTGCATCTTTTTTGTGCTTATTTGATTAATCATTTTTAAACCATGTTTGAGCACCATTTTCCCCAAAAATCGTTTTTTTTTTTAAAACTCATTTTCAATTATACATTCTTTCATAAAATAATTTTACACATAAATCCAATTTTTTTCTATTTTTTTTAACCACACATTATAAAAAAAACATTATTCTAAAAAACATTTTTCAGTCATCACATTTAGTCACCAAAATATTTACGTAGGGGGTGTTTGATGGATATTATTGAGAAAAGAATGTATTTTAAATAATGATATGATGAAAAATATTTAGTTAAAAAGTAAAGAAAAAGTATTGATATGATGGAAAATATATTTTACTGAAAAATGTGTGGTTGAAAATGAATTTTGAAAAAATATATATCAATAACTTTAATTCACATACCAAAAACAATTCGTATACTTGCAAAGGTTGAATTGGAGGGTTTGACTTGCCATGTGTGTGACATAAACATATAATTTAGCCACTCCCACTACATATTGCTATCATAAGAACACAATTTACAATCTAAGACCAACTCAACACCACATGATCTTTGAAAAAAATTATAAAGTAAAATTTGTCTTAAAAAGTACTGATGAGACCTTTTGACGCATGCTCGTTGTGCATTGCACCCAAGCATCAAGTGCTGTCTTGACATTGGGGTAAGACTACTCCTAAGCACGACTTGCGGATATTTGCCTATCTGGTTACGGGATTATTATTAATTTTCCAATAAAGTTAATATTTACAAATCACATTACTCTTCAACATGTCCCAAACTAACAAAGGGTACGATGCAGTGATAAAATAGGAGGAAGCATCGAATGCTCGAATTTCTGCGATAGCTGAAAGATAACATTTATATTGGAAGACAGATTCATGTGAGGCAAAGTTATTGTGCGCTTTGTTGTTTCTTTGGAGGTCCTGTCCACAGTCGTAAAGGGAGGTCCACAGGGAGAATAACCGCTTCCCGAATGTTCGGTTCAAATGTGTATAAGTTGTGACTGCATCAAGATTTACACGAGTGGCAAAACGGGGTTAATGCTGCCACTTCTCAGGATTAGTCGGACGAATATCGGACACCTGAATCATAAAAAAGAAAAAGAAAAAGAAGCCAATTAGTTTTAAACAAAGATTCGAACTTTCTTTTTTCATTGTGATCTAATTATTTGAGTTTTGAAATAACATAATCCATTTCTTTATCAGAAAGACTATTAAATAATTATGTCACCTCATTCGATCTCTAAGGATCCGTTTGATTGTAAATGTGGAAAATGAGTGAAAAGAAAATATTTTATAGGGAATTAAATTGCCTAAAAATTGTTTTACTGGGAATTGTAATTAATTGTGTTTGATTAATATTATTTTCCACCTGAAAAATGTTGAAAGTTTGGTGTCCGTTTGATTTCATTTTTTTTAATGAAAATTGTCCATTAAAATGATAATTTTTTCTACCATTGGGTCTAGAATTTGTTCCAATTGAAAAAAAAATTTGAAAAAAAAATTTATCATATCGAATACCATTCATTTGGCTTTGTTTTGCATGCAAATTGTCAATAAAAGTGAAATTTTTTTTATCATTGTGTCTAAGGGCGTGTTCGGTAGAGATTAAAATCGAATTAAAATTAAAAAATTAGTCATTATTGTTGATTTTTATTAAACGAGTGAGACCCAATAACGGCTATATTTTCAATTTTAATTGAATTTTAATATTTACCAAACGGGCTATAAAACTTTTTCCAATTGTAAATTAAAAAAAAAAAATGAAGATAAACCTGGAAAATCAAAACCCACAAAAACAACCACCTTTCCAAGAAAACAAGCGCGTGGGTGGAGGGAGAGGAAAACATTTTTCAAAGAAAATCTTGCTAATCAAACAGCCAAAAAGTGGGAAGATTTTCCCTTTTTCCTAGAAAAGTTTACGATTCAAACACTGCCTAAGGGTAATCATAAGTTTCCGTTTTTAAAGTTAATTCACCAGTAAAACTACATTTTATCAACTCATTAATTTATGATTGCTCTCTAGCTAAAAGCTATCCTGTAGAAGAGTCGAGCAATGTGCCATTTCAAGTTCTTGTTCGAGACAAACAATCTTTTTTTTTTTTTTTGACCTTTTCTCCAATTTGGACCAATATCACATGTTATAGATTGCTGTTATGAGTTTCGCGCTTTTCCGAAATATGTCAAAGTCGCGTATTTGGAGGGGATAGGAGGAAATTCCGGCGAGATTTGGCATTAAATTGAATAAACCCTGACCTTGTTTAGATCTGACAACAACGTGATTTAGATCGAGACAACGTTTGTCCCAATACCGTTATAGCGAAATCCATTGTTGACGATAATAGATTTTCACACACACAGAGAGTGGACATAGAGCAATGGATGCTTTGAGGAAGCAAGCCAGCAAACTCAGAGAACAAGTCGCCAAACAACAACAGGTCCAATTTCCTTTTTCATTTTTCTCTATAGATTTTAATTATGGGGGTAAATTGTCATATACAAAACCTAAAATTTGTTATGAATTTGCGAGTTTTGGAGTTATTCTTGATGTGGGTTGTGTGAATTGTAGGCTGTAATCAAACAATTCAGTGCTAGCGGCTATGAAAGCTCAGAGGTTATGGTTATTGATGAGATTGAGATGCAAACGCATCACCAATTGGAGAATTTGTACCGGTCTACTCGCTCTGGAAGGGTAACTATTTTACAACTGATTGTTGAAGTTAATGATTCTTGTTCAAGCTTCCTTGTGATATGTTCATACAATCTTAATTTGGTTTTAAGTCATACGAGCCTGGTGATAGTTATTGATAAAAGTTAGTCTTTCCATTTCTTGAGAATCTGTCGTTGTTTCAACTGACGAGCTCTATATTTCCTTATGCAGGATTTTCAGAAAGAACTTGTCAAAGCAGCTGAAGCATTCAGTGCTGTAGGGTATAAACATATAGAAGCCGGTGAGTATATGCAAATCTGATCATCTGATGTTAACTTGCACGAGTCTATAAGTTGTTGCCTGGACATTAACTTCATAAGTGCTTTCTCTTGATCTGATGTAAGTCTTTTGCAATGGGCATCATGTACATATGAGTTAATGCTCTATAGTGTTAATTCAGGAACAAAGTTATCAGAAGATTGTTCCCAATATGGAGTTGAGAATGCCCAAGATCAGATTCTAGCTAAGGCTGCATCCATATACGGTGATGCACGTAAGCATGTGGAGAAGGAACAAGAAGACCTGAATAGACTGTTGTTTAACCAGGTGGGTTGGATTGTTCATTTATAATATGTTCATAGACAATGGTCCCTTGCTTGGTGGTTGAAGAATATATTCGAAAAACTTTTGACGGAGGAATTTATTTCGAGCAATGTGTATTGGTACACAGGTGACATTGTTGCTTATGCTTTGTCTGATTGCTAATGGTTATTTATTTTGTATTTTATATTTTTCAGTGGCAGAATTTAGTAATATCTATGCTAAGTGTGCCTGTGAACAGTTCTCAATCCTGTCATTTGAATTGCTAGAACCTAGTAAAACCTTTAGGTAATACTTGGAATCGAAAGTAGTTATTTTCCATAGTTTAGTAAAATTGTCAGTTGTTAGGGGCGGATGCTAACATTTCAAGAGTAGCGAAAAACATTGAGTGAAAAGCTACAAGCAGACTAATGTAGAGATGATAATTAAAAGTTACTTAACAGATATGGTGGAAAGTGACCTCATTTGCATGCAGGCAATTTTTATGTGGTTACATCCAGAAATTGTTTGAGTTTGTCCCCTAGAACTCTACGTCATAGTCCATTTGTATTTTAGTCCTCGTTATATGCAATTCTAGGAAGTTTTTCCCCCCTTAGTTATTAACCCTCTGTAATGATATCTGGTGTATGAACAAACTACTGATTGTTGCATGATACTGGACTGTATGTCCTTTTTGGTAATGGTTTAACAATTAATAATGTTGGACTTTTGAGAGATTTTCTATTTGATTAGCTAATTTTGGTAATTACCGAACATGCCATTTTAGGTGTTAGAACCCCTGAGGGCGATGATAGGTGGTTCTCCTCTCGAAGATGCTCGTCATCTTGCTCAACGTTACAGCAAAATGAGACAAGATGCAGAGGCACAGGTAGTGAGAATCAAAAAGTTTGCTGTGGCTTGAAGTATATCATCACCTGTTCTGTGGACGTTATAATATAATGCCATATAATTTAGTTAACCATAACATATGAATAGGCAGCCGAAGTTTCTAGAAGACAAGCACGGGTAAGGGAATCTCCTATACCAGAAAATGTAGCAAGGCTGCATGCAGCAGAATCTAGAATGCACGAATTGAAAGCAAACATGGCAGTACTTGGTAAAGAAGCAGCAGCTGCATTGGCTGCTGTGGAATCACAGCAGCAGAGGCTCACATTTCAGAGACTTGTTGCCATGGTGTGTATTGCTGGTTCTCTTAAAGTTGATTCTTGATATTTTTTTCCTATGATACACGTAAAAGCCACGTGTTTAAAGTGAGTTTTTACTTTACAGGTTGAAGGTGAGAGGATATATCATGAGAGAGTAGCTACGATTCTTGGTAATATTGAAGCTGAGGTCTGTGGTTGTCTGTATAATTTCAGAAAAGATCTTCGTTTATAGTGTTTTATGTGGTAGCCTGCAATTTTGTGTAGATTGTCTCAGAGAAACAACGGAAAGAGGCTGCTCCTCCCGTAACTCCTCTCAATCACTCTTCAGAGAAAACGAAGTACTTTCTTGCTGAGGTAAGTTCAAATTTTACTTCTGTATTTTTAAAAGTTTTCTTAAAGCACAAAGACTTCATACAATGGTAATTTCTATGGATTTTATTATCTTAAGAATCTAATCCGAAAGTTAATCTAATAATAATAACTTTATGGATAACAATTATTTGTTTTGACATTTAAGACCGACAATTATGCTGGTTCTTGACTGCTGTAACTACTGTTGCTTTTCCCCTGTTTTTGAAAAGCAAAAATATTCCACACGGCAGTAATTTTTCTGAATTTTATTTTCTTATGAATGTGATTCTGAAAGTTAATATCTAATTATAGTTCTATTGGCAGCAATTTATTTGTTGAACACTTGAGACTGGCTAACATGGGTAGTATAATAATATTTCCACATATTGTGTTATCTAGTGCATGAAGGTCATCTTATCGTGCCATAACAATGTATTTAGTGGGCAAATCCTTGCTAAATCATGGTTCACGGATACACATGTATACGATTACAGGCAACACATCCTTTTGACGCTGCATCGGAGAAGGAACTGAGCTTGGCATTGGGAGATTATGTTGTTGTTCGGAAGGTTGCTGAATCTCTCTCTCCTGCCTTTCCTTTTTCTGATTTTTATTCATCTTGTATGCATGAGTGTGTATGTCATTGGGCTTTGTTGAGTTCAATTCAGTATGTGCTATGTATAGTTCTATTGTGATAACTGATTTCACTTCCCTAAAATGCACCAATATCCCTTCCATTCGGTGTTGAATTGCCCCTTCGAGAGTTTCTTATAAGTTGGTCTTTGTGTTCTATATTGAGGGCCTGTTTGGTACAGATTTTCATTTTTTACAGTAAATCAATTTTCATTTTCAATCACACATTTTTCAATAAAATAATATTTTCCATCACATCAATAATTTTTTCTTCTTTTTCAACCACACATTTCCCATCATATCACTATTCAAAATCAATTCTTCCCCCAAAAATCTCTACCAAACACACTCTGAATATCTAAATAACTATATTTTTCAGCTACACATCCATTTAAAGACTTGAATACTTTTCTCGGTATATATACTTAGCAATCGTACTAAATCCACCTTGCTTCCATGTATTAGCAAAGAAATTCCCCGATATGCTGTACAGTTTTTTCTAATATATTTATGCTTTACTCAGGTAAGTCCGTCAGGATGGTCAGAAGGAGAATGCAAAGGCCGAGCAGGTTGGTTCCCTACTGCATATGTAGAGAAACGCCAAAGAATCCCCACAAATTATACTGCTGCTGAAGTCTATTGAATCATATCTTCATGCTAGGCTGGTGGTCAAATTTTTCATTTTTTCTCTCTTTTTCAATCTGTCTGGCAGTTCATCCACTGAATCTTAAAGATGTATATTGTTGGGCCATGTTGTTTCAATTCTGATGTATTTGAGAACGCGTTTGTTTAGAAATGTTCCTCTGTATTGACTATTGACGTCGTGTGTGTGAGTGTTATGGGAATTACTTATTACGGGCCGTAGTCCAAATTTTGTTTCACCTGGGCCCTGGAGCATCTCCCTAAAAGATCCATTAACTTTCAGATTCAGGACCTTTTTGGTACAGATTTTCATTTTCTATAGTAAATCAATTCTCATTTTCAACCACACATTCTTCAATAAAATAATATTTTCCATCACATCAATATTTTTTTCTTCTTTTTCAACTACACATTTTCCATCATATCACTATTCAAAAATCAATTCTTCTCCCAAAAATCCCTACCAAACACACTCTTAATATGACCCATAAAACATAATCCTAACGGCTGAAAACTATCATTTTGTCTGATATTGGATAATAAGATAATTAAGCACACTTAAGGAGGATTTGGGTAAGTGAACTCACAGAAAAAGTAAAAAGCAAGTATGTGGAATTTAAGTAATTTACTTTAAAGAAGTAAATTATTGAATTAAAAGTTCTCCAGAAAAGTAAAATTGTTTTTAGAGAACTTTCAATTTCTTCATTACTGCATATAAACCATCTTCAATCATCAAAAATAAATTCTTCATTCATCTCCAACCTCAAGAACTCAAGGAGTTTGAAATACTGGGCGCCAAAAATAAAGGAATAAAGGACTGAAGATGGGAAAACAAATGGTGAAGTTGTTGCTTCCAGCTAGATGCTTCACCTGGGCCGTGCTAACTCTACTCCCACAATGCTTCACAGCTGAATGGATATGTAAATTCTTTTCAAGTTCCACCAATATTCTAATTAATCTGCTTCCTCAATCGACAGCGCTTGGTGTACAAGGAGGGGCTTCACAGGTGTTTTACGGGGCTTAGGTGACAAAAAAATAAAAATGAAAACAACATGAGAGGAATTCAGAATTCAATCATTTCTCCCAAATTGGAAACTCTTCAAATCTCTCCATTTACCATCTCCAATTTCATCCCTTCACAACGGCGAGACAACACCGTCGGACTCATCTTCGCCTCCGGCCGTTGCCGAAATTGGTGAAGAACAAAAGTCGCTATTGTACCCAAACATTTTCGTCGACATCGAAAACCGTCGAACCCTGCTCTGAACTTCCACTGGCACGAAACCACCACCACAGTCCCGTTTTCCTCGGCGGCGCTGAACCACGTAAGTGGAAATTATTTCATCTCAGCTCGTGATCGAGTTAACATCTCAACTTTTTTCATACTTAAATGGAGATTAATTCATCCTAGCTGGTGTTTGTCATATGTAGCTAGGGATTAAATTCCTCTCAGTTGGCGTTTGTATTTTATTCATTCTTTGAGTAATTCATATTTCGCATTATTAGGGCTTCAATTTGACATTCAATTGATTGTTTGTGGAATTCTGGAAATATGAATTACTCAAGTTGAAGATGTACCCCGCATGTTCCAATCTCAAGTTCGTCTAACTGATGAAGAAGAGCTCCAGATTTCAGTCCCGTTTTAAATAATAGTAAGATGAACCAATTGAATATTCCTAAAAGCTGAAGGACTAAATTGCTTTTAAATAGTAGTTGGATGACCCAATTGAAGTTTCCAAAACGCTAAAGGACTAAATTGACTTTACATAATAGATGGATGACAAAAATGAAGTTTTCTAACAGTTGAAGGACTTAATTGCTGCAGAAACATAGTTGTATGATCTAATTGAAATTTTCTAAAAGCTGAAGGAAAAAATTGACTTTCAAGAATAGTTGGCTGACGAAAACAATGTTTCCTAATAGTTAAAGTACTAAATTTCTATTGAAAAGTAGTTAGGTGACCAAATTGATATTTCTTATTAGTCGAAGGACTGAATTGTTCCCAACCAATAGACAGATGACCAAATTGATGTTTCATAAACATTGAAGGACTTATATGATGCAGAACAATAGTTAGATGACCCAATTGAAATTTCCAAAATGTTGAAGGACTAAACACACTATAATTAATAGTTGGATGACCAAAACGAAGTTTCCCAATAGCTTAATGACTAAATTGAAATCAATTGATAGTTCGATGACCACAATGAAGTTTATCAATAGTTGAATGACTAAATTGAATTCAATTAATAGTTAGATGACCAAAATGAAGTTTCCCAATAGTTGAGTGGCTAAATTGATTTCAATTCGTAGTATTATGACCAAAATGAAGTTTCAAAATAGTTTAAGGACGAAATTGGCTTCAATTGATAGTTAGAGCAGCAAAATGCAGTATCCCAATAGTTAAATGTCTAAATTGACTTCAATTGATAAATAGATGACCAAAATACAGTATTCCAATAGTTGAATTACTAATTTGCTAAAAAATTAGTTGGATGTTAAAATTGTTGTTTCGTAAAAGTTGAAGGACTTAGTTGCTGCTGAACAATAGTTGGATGACCCAATTGAAGTTTTCTAAAAGACAATGAACTGAATTAAATTTAATTGATAGTCAGAGGACCAAAATGAAGTTTCCATATAGTTGAAGACTAAATTGAAATTGAAAGTAGTTGGATGACCAAATTGATATTTCCTTAAACTTGAAGGACTCAATTGTTTCCAATCAATAATTAGATGACAAAATTGATGTTTCGTAAAAGTTGAAGGACTTAGTTGCTGCTGAACAATAATTGGATGACCCAATTGAAGTTTCCTAAAAGCCGAAGGATTAATATAACTTTAAAAATAGTTGGATAACCAAAATGAAGTGTCCAAATATTTAAAGGACTAAATTGCTTTCCAAAAGCAGTTGGATGACCAAATCGAATTTTACTAAAGTTTGAAGGACTAATTTGATGTAGAATAATAGATTGATGACCCAATTGAAGATTTCTGAAAGATGAAGGACAAATTTACTTTTGAACAGTAGTTGGATGACCTAATTAAAGTTTCCAAAAGCGGAAGGACAACATTGCTTTTATACAATAGTTGGATAACCCAATTTAAGTTTCTTGAACACTGAAGGACTAATATGTTTAATTAAATAGTTGGATGACCCAGTTGACGTTTATCTAAAGCAGAATGATTGAATTGGTTTTAAGCAATAGTTAAATGACCAAAGTGAAGTGTTTTGAAACTTTAAGGACTGAATTGGTTCAAACTATAACCTAAACCCTAAATTTCAGTTGGTCAATCGAATTGAAGTTTCTTAAAACTTGAAGGACTAAATTGGTAGTGAACTCTGCCCCTAAAATTTCAGTTCGATCATCCATGTATACTTTGAAGGCAATTTAGTCCTTAATCTTCTATGAAACATCAATTTAGTAATTTAAGTATACTTAGAATAATTTCTGCCATTGCCAATGAATAGACGCAGCAACTGATGACTTATTTTCGGCCAGATAATCAATTCTTTCGGAGGGACGGATCCATCTCACGTAGTGCAGGAAGTTTCAAAGGTGATTTTGTATTTTGCTTTTTATTTTTCATACAATGAGATCACGAGTCTCATTCTAAGTACAATTACCACTTTACCTTGCAAGTGGTGCTATTAAATTTTGGTATGAAGTAATAAGTATTATGAATTCAGCGGTCTCCTTCCAAACTGGGATTTTTATGGCTTTTTCAGAATAGAACAAATTAATTCCACTGAGTGTTTGACTAGATGATGCACAAGTTTATGGAGATGAATAAGAAATAATTAATATGAAATGAATTTCAATGAACAAATTGTCTAAAGCCAAAAGCCTTCTGACCCAAAAAAGTAGGAATTAGGTTATACGAAATTCAATTTATGCATAATTTAAATTATTCCATTTTTTCCTCAATTCTGCCATATTTGGGTAAAGTTTGGCGATGAACACAAAGTTATGGTGGTAATAAGCAATACATAAATTGAAAAATTAGCCTTGATTTTTATTAGACGAGTGGGACCAATAACGGCGATATTTTCAATTAAAATTGGATTTTAATCCTAGGCAAACAGGCTCTGAGGGAAAAGGAGATTAAGCAAATTTTAGGAAAATGATTATCATATATATTCATGGCATCTTAGTTTTACTGCTTTAGCATGCACAATAAGACTAGTCTGGTTCAAAATCTGGAAAATAATTTTGACACCATTCTCAAAGCAGAGTATTGCTTTCACTGTTGAGGAGTTTATAAGTATGTATTCTATATTGTCTTGGAATTTTTTCAGGTCTCTCTCAAATATGTTTATTTGGTTATTGAAGCTAGCATAGCTTCATTTCTATGTACGTACTTGTACTCATTCAAAATTTCTCCCCATAGCATATAAAATTTTGTGAATTTTCGTAACTACATTCTTCAAGATTTTTCACAGTTGACTTCAATGTAAACTGCTTGTTTGTGCATTGCAGAGATGTCATGCTGGATGGTAAGCAGAGAAAGACGAGCAGATCGAATTAGAGGGTTGTACTTGAGAACGCTATTAAGACAAGATATTGAGTTCTTCGACACTCGAACAACAACGGGAGAGGTCATTGGGAGGATGTCTGGGGACACCATTCTCATTCAAGATGCCATGGGCGAAAAATCGAGTTCTTAAACTTCGAGTGCAATTCACTTATTTTGTTATAATTAATGTTAAGGAAGAAAAAAACTAAGATCTTGTGGAATACCATCTACCAAACTACTTGAACCTTGTTAAGAAATGATTCTCTCGGTGGGAAATTCATTCAATTTATGTCAACATTCATTGGAGGGTTTATAATTGCTTTCTGTAAAGGATGGCTTCTATCCTAGTCTTGCGTTCTTGCATTCCTGCACTTGCCATAGCCGGAGGATCCATTTCATTGCTTATGGCGAAGATGTGGAGTCGATGACAAGTTGCTTATGCAGATGCTGGAAATTGGTTGAACAAACAGTAGGAGCAATCAGAACGGTAATTAAAATGCTGCAATCACCACAGTATTTGTTTGCATTTGCACTCAAATTGCAACTGAGTTCCTGAACTTTTTACGCTTCTTCTTAACAATTGTAGGTTGTGTCCTTCACCGGAGAGAATAAAGCAACAGAAAAGTATGATAGGAAATTGCAAATAGCCTATGCATCCACTGTTCAGAAAGGGTTGGCCTTAGGCATAGAACTTGGCACAGTTTTACTAATTGTCTTAAGTACTTATGGACTTGTCATATGGTATGGATCAAAACTGATCATAGAAAAAAGATACAGTGGTGGAGAGGTTATCAATATCATGATGGCCATAATGACTGGTGGAATGTAAGTAAAACATCAAATCTTGTTTATTATACTCTCTAGTTTCGTTTAGCAGTGCATACCAAAATTGCATTGATTATTAATTTGAAAGTACCTTACTCCGTATATTCTTGAATCAGATCACTTGGACAGACATCTCCATGTATAAATGCATTTGCAGCAGGTCAAGCTGCAGCATACAAGATCTTCGAGGCTATTGAATGGAAATCGAAAATTGATGCGTATGATGATAGAGGAATTGTTTTGGAAAATATAAGAGGTAAAATTGAACTTAAGGATGTGTATTTCACATATCCAGCAAGGCCAGAAATCCAGATATTTTCAGGCTTTTCATTACACATTGTTATTGGCGAAACTGCAGTTGTAGTTGGGCAAAGTGGCAGTGGGAAGTCCACAGTTATTTGCTTGTTGGAGAGATTTTATGATCCCGATGCTGGAGAAGTACTTATAAATGGAGTTAATTTGAAGATGTTGAAACTAAAATGGATCGGAGGAAAAATGGGACTTGTAAGTCAGGAACCAATCTTATTTGCAACAACTTTGAAGGAAAACTGTTGGGATTTTGACTTTGATCTAAGACTCTTTTAAAAGAGCCCTTAACATCTTTGATTTTGTGTATGGAGGAGTGTATTGAAGACTTAACAAAACATGAATTGTATACCGGTTGATGCATAGCTTACCGGCTTTTTTCAAGCATAAAACATAAGAAAAACATATGANGAAAAATTGATTTTTGAATAGTGATATGATGGGAAATGTGTGGTTGAAAAAGAAGAAAAAAGTATTGATGTGATGGAAAATATTATTTTATTGAAGAATGTGTGGTTGAAAATGAGAAGTGATTTACTGTAGAAAAGGAGAATTGTTACCAAACAGGCTCTTATAGCCAAACTTACTAGATATTCTACAAGATATTTAGAGATATTTTCTACCTCTTTGACAATCCACTAGCAAGTAGTAGCTTTCAACTTTGCTACTAGAACTTACTTTACTTGTAGAGTGGTTTACTACTTTGTGTTGTACTAGTTATAATCTAGTCTAACTTAACATCAACTTAGTTAGACATTTCAACTAAACTAACTACAAACTAGATTACAATAAAAATACAATTCTTCATGTGACAACAAAATGTCACAACTCCAACAAAAACATATTGTATGGCAAAGAAGATGCTTCTGATGAAGATAATAGAACAGCAATAGAACTTGCTAATGCTGCCAAATTCATTGAAAACCTCCCCCAGGTAACAGGTCTTTACTGTTTTCTCGATTGAACAGGACATGCCTGCCCATTTTTTTCAACATTGGCTCTTACACGTGAGGAAATAATATTATCCCGTTTACCAGGGCTTGATACAGTGGTGGATGAACATGGAACTCAGCTATCCGGTGGTCAGAAGCAAAGGTTTGCAATTGCTAGAGCTATTCTTAAAAATCCAAAAATCCTTCTTCTCGATGAGGCAACAAGTGCTCTGGATGCAGAGTCAGAACGCCTTGTGCATGATGCACTTGAGAATTGAAGATTTCTGAGGAAGAATAATCTTATTTTCTTATATTATTTGTTGAGGAATATTACACCTTATTATACACGGTTTCCATAACTAAAAATAGTAACAAACTCCTAAAAATAAGAAAGGGAAATTACTACCCTAAACTTAAGGAATCCGAATAGGAAAATCTAGATTCCTTAATCCCCTAATTACCTCACATTCATAATTACAAAATAAAAACTAAATATGGTAACTTTGAGGGAATTTCAACACTCCCCCTCAAGTTGGGTTGTACATATTGTACATGCCCAACTTGTTACATAGTTCCTCAAAGTTAGGTCCTAGCAAAGCCTTTGTCAAGATATCAGCAAGTTGCTCTCGAGATGGAGTGTAGACCAACTGCACCTCTGAGTTCTCAATCTTTTCAGGGATGAAATGTCGATCGATCTCCACATGTTTAGTTCTATCGTGGTGAATTGGATCCTTTGCCATGCTAATAGTAGCCTGATTATCACACTCAAGCTTTACTGACTTCTCAAACTCCATTCCCAACTCGGTCATAACTCGCCTGATCCATATTCCTTCACAAATTGCTACTGCTAAAGCTCTTAGTTCAGCCTCGGCACTACTTCTAGAAACTACTGACTGTTTCTTACTCCTCCAAGTTACAAGGTTTCCCCAGGCTAATGAGCAATACCCTGTGGTTGTCTATTTGGGCTGATTTCAGGCTGTTCTAGCAACGAATCCCAACTCCAAAGCTGAAGTTCTATTTGACTCTCCCCCTGAAATTCAGATTTGGAAAAATAAGGATTTTGTTCAAAGAATGTCACATCCATTGTTTCAAATACCCTTCGTGTGTTAGGACAAAAACACTTGTAACCTTATGTCACATCAATTGTTTCAAATACCCTTCGTGTGTTAGGACAAAAACACTTGTAACCTTTCTTCTTGGTGGAATAACCGATAAAGACGCATTTCATGGATCATGGATTAAGTTTACTCCTGTTTTGAGGGTACACATGAACAAAAGCAGAACACCCAAAATTTTTGAAAGGAAGATCAGAGGAAAGAACACGAGCATGAGGAAATATTTTAATGAGGGCTTGACGTGGTGTTTCAAACTTTAGAACACGAGATGGTAACCGATTGATGAGATATGCAGAAGTAAGAATGGCTTCCCCCCACAGATATTTTGGAACACCAGTAGAAAACATAAGAGATCGGGCTACTTCCAACAGATGGCGGTTTTTCCTCTTTGCCACTCCATTTTGTTGAGGTGTGTTGACACATGAACTTACTCGAACAATTCCCTGTCTAGACAAGTATTCACTTAGAGCTGAATAGAAATATTCCCTAGCATTGTCAGATTTAAGGATATGGATTTTAGTATTAAATTGTGTTTGAACCATGGAATTGAATGTCTGGAATATTCTATCAACTTCTGACTTTTCTTTCATAAGAAAAACCCAAGTAAGTCGTGTATGATCATCTACGAATGTTACAAACCACCGTGCTCCATTGATATTTTTAATTCTAGATGGTCCCCAAATGTCACTGTGAATTAATGCAAAGGGTTTTGATGGATAGTAGGGCACACTTGGATATACAGAACGAGTGTGTTTTGCAAGCTGACATATCTCACAGTTAAAAAACTTCGAATTTTTATTGATGAATAGGTGAGGGAATAACCTTTCAATGTATATAAAGTTTGGATGACCCAACTGATAGTGCCATAACATGGCTTCACTATCTTTATTGACACTTGAATTGAAAACAGACTTAGGACTGAAACTATGAAATGACTGACTCTTAGATGAACCACTATTCACAAGTAGAGCTTTTCCAGGTTGAGTTATCTTGAAGAGATAAAGTCCAGAACACATCTCAGCACTGCCAATCCTCTTCCTTGAACCCAATTCCTGAAAAACACACATTCGGGAAAAAATTAGTTAAGCAGTGATTATCGCGAGTCAACTTACTGATGGATATTAAATTGCAATCAAGTTTAGGGACATGAAGCACGGACTTTAGAGTAATTCTGGATGAGAGTTGAACTAATCTAGTCCTGGCCACCTTGGACTGAGAACCATCAGCAATTCGTACTGTAAGATTTGTGTGACACGGTTGATAGTCATGGAAGAGAAACTCATCTCCTGTCATATGGTCTGACGCCCCTGAATCAATAATCCAATATTTTGAGCGTTTAGCCCACACTGAAAATGCCGAATATGAATTACCTGCTTGTGCGTGCATGCTAGTGGACGGAGCAAGGGCAATGTGCTGAGAAAGTGTACTGCTTAGAAGCTTTTGGAGCACCTCAAGTTGTTCCTTGGTGAAAGGACTTAACTCAACAATGGCTGGCAGTTCCTCGACTGCATTGGCTGAGTTTGCCCAGCTGTCTTTGTCAGAACCTGACTTTACTGATTTCCAATTAGCCGGTTTGCCGTCTATCTTCCAACATTTATCCTTGGTGTGACCAGGTGTAGCACAATGATTGCAACAAGGTCTTCCCTTCCTCTGTTGGCGGGTATCTTGCTGATTTGGAGGACGTGAGCCACGGGCAGCAAGGGCGGATCCTTCCGATGTTGAAGACGAATGTTGGCCACCCATCATGACCCTTTTTCTGCTTTCCTCACGATGAACTTCAGAAAAAGCTTCTCTAAGGCTCGGAAGAGGTTTAGTTCCCATCACTCTGCCTCTAACATAATCTAGATTCTTGTTTAATCCCAATAGGAACTTAAACGTCCTCTTCTGCTCCAATATTTTGCGATACAGAGCACTGTCTTCGGGGCACTTCCATTCATGATTTTCAAACATGTCTAGTTGTTGCCAGTGACGAGTAAGAGTATTGAAGTATTGCGTCACCGTGAGGTCTCTCCCTGCCGTAGATCATGAAGGATCGTTTCAATCGCGAAGAGCTCCGATGTATTCTCAGAACTAGAATATGTTTCTCTCACAGCTTCCCAAATTTCTTGAGCAGTCTCATAAAAGAGAAATTTCTCACCAATATCAACGTTCATCGAATTGATGAGCCATGACATGATTTGATGATTTTCGGCCTTCCACTTCTTGTAACATGGATCATCCTTCTTCGGAATTGGAATCTCCCCTGTTAGATAATCTTCCTTGCCTTTGCCACAAATGAACATTCTGACGGATTGAGACCACTGGCGAAAATTTTGCCAATTAAGTTTGTGGCTGGTGATGAGGAGAGATATTTTCAGAGGTTCCAGAATTTCCCGAATTTGGAAGAGCAGATGTTTGATCTGAATGAGAAGAGACTTCTGAGGTGGACCTGGCTGTTCCGGTTGCCATGTCGTACTTGACCTTAGAGGACGGCTAGGAATGGAGGCCAGGGTTTTCCAGCGAACCTGTCTCTGATACCATGAAGATTTGTGAGGTAGGATAATCTTATTTTCTCATATTATTAGTTGAGGAATATTACACCTTAATATACACGGTTTCCATAACTAAAAATAGTAACAAACTAACCTTGAGGGGTTGCTCAATTGGTCGGGCCATGGATTTGCTCTCCAATGGTCACTAGTTCGAGTCCCCTCAGGGCCACTGAGGTGAGTACCAGATCGTAAACTTCAGGGCTCCGTGGGATTAGTCGAGATGCGCGCAAGCTGACCCGAACATCCACCGTTATCAAAGAAAAAAAATAGTAACAAACTCCTAAAAATAAGAAAGGGAAATTACTACCCTAAACTTAAGGAATCCGAATAGGAAAATCTGGATTCCCTAATACCCCTAATTACCTCACATTCATAATTATAAAATAAATACTAAATATGGTAACTTTGAGGGAATTTCAACAAGAATGTTATGACAAACCGAACAACAGCGTTGCACACCGTCTGACAACTATAAGAAATGTTGATCATATAGCAGTAGTGGAAGCTGGAAAACTAGTAGAACAAGGAATAAGCATCACAATTTGTTAAATAGTATTTTAAGATTTAGCATATGGAATCAATTTGAAAATAATTTTTCCCAAAATAATGCAAGGCACTCATGCTGATTTGGTAAGGAATCCCGATGGAGCATACTCACAGCTTATTCAAATGCAAGAAGGTGCTAAACATGTTGATAACATTGAAGGGACAGACTTACAGAAAATGGATTCTGCTCTAGAATTAGATGGCAACTTGAGCAAGTCTTTTGAGTAGCAGAATTTCCATGAAGAGATCGACAAGCAGCGGATCACTCCCTCCTCCCTTTGGTGCTCCTGATCTTATTGACTATCATGAAGCTCAAACTGGAGATACCAGAGATGAAAGGGAAGTCAAGGTTTTGAAGGAACATAAGAAAGTTTCTATAAGACACTTTGCATACTTGAAACAAACCCGAGTTGCCATATTTGCTGCTATGATGATTGGCAGCTGGGGCACATGGCGTAGTCTTTCCAATATTTGGACTCTTACTTTCATCAGCTATTAAAATTTTCTTTGAACCTGCAAACAAGCTTAAGAAAGATTCCAGGTTTTGGGGACTCATGTTAGTCGTCCTTGGCCTATGTACCAACCGTACCAGTGCAGAATTCCTTTTTTGGAATTGCTGGTGGTAAGTTGATAATTCATTCAAGAAGGTAGTGCACCAGGAGATTAGTTGGTTTGATAATCCTCGTAACTCAAGGTTTGTAAATTCTTTTTACTAGTAATCATCAAATTCTTTGATTCTATTCAATTGATACTAAAAGAGAAGCGTTTGTTGGACGCAGTGGTGTTGTTGGCGGAAGGTTATCTACTGATGCCTCAACTGTAAGGAGCCTTGTAGGAGATGCTTTAGCGCTAATTTTCCAGAACATAGCGACGGTGATAGTAGGCCTGGTGATAGCCTTCACGACCAATTGGTTGCTAGCCATCATAATCCTTCTTCTTCTGCCGCTTGTTGGTTTGCGAGGATTCCTCTCGATGGGTTCTACAAAGGGTTCAGTGCAGATGCCAAGGTATTTTTTAGTACCTGAACGTCATGATCATTCAAGTACTACTTATTTGTGTGTGTGTATATATACCCACAGACATCTAAGTAAAGATGCAATATATGTAAAGCAGGTTATGTATGAAGAAGCTAGTCAAGTGGCAAATGATGCTGTCAGCAGCATCAGAACTGTTGCGTCATTTAGTGCTGAAGAGAAGATAATGAAAATGTACAAGGAAAAATGCGAGGCTCATGTGAAGCAAGGAGTTCTGATTGGACTTACTAGGGAGCTCGTTCTTTTGCACAAATTCCTTCAGTTTCTACATTGGATCTGTTCTGATTCAACATGGGAAAGCATCCTTTGGGGATGTGTTCTAGGTAAATTAAGAATTTCTTGTTCTTATCATTCACTTGCTGAATTCATCTTCAATTAAACCACAATACTCTGCAGGTTTTCTTTGCTCTAACAATGTCAGCTATCGGAGTTTCTCAAGCTAGTGCAATGGCTCCTGACGTGAACGAAGCTAAGGATTCTGTTGCTTCTACATTTGAGATTCTGGATAGTAAACCCGAGATTGATTCAATTAGTGAAGAAGGCACTACATTGTCTAGTGTTAGAGGTGACATTGAGTTTCAACATGTAAGCTTCAAGTATCCAACACGGCCAGACATCCAAATCTTCAAGGATTTGTGCCAAAGTATGCCTTTTGGGCAGGTATGTTCACTCAGCCAAATAGAGAAATATCTGCTCTCTGCTGTCTTGTTTTAGATTTTGTCATTTTTTATTTTTAAATTTAGATAATATATGTTTTTGCAGACAATGGCTCTAGTTGGAGAGAGTGGAAGTGGGAAGTTCACAGTTATCAGTTTGATACAAAGATTCTACAATCCCGACTCTGGCCAAATATTCTTGGATAGAGTGGAAATCCGAAAATTGAAGCTAAGTTGGCTGAGGCAGCAAATGGGATTATTGAGTCAAGAACCTATACTTTTCAACGAAACAATCTGTGAAAACATTGCACATGGGAAAACAGGGGATGGAGCTGAAGAGGAGATCATTTCAGCAACAAGAGCTGCTGATGCACACAACTTCATATCAGGATTGCCTCAAGAATACGTACTAACGTTGGAGAGAGAGGAATTCAATTGTCTGGTGGAAAAAAGCAAAGAATTTCTATAGCAAGAGCAATTTTGAAAGATCCAAAGATGCTTTTGTTCGACGAAGCAACAAGTGCACTGGATGCTTAGTCAGAGTGTATAGTCCAGGAAGCCTTTTGCAGCTCATCTCCTGACTACAATAATGGGGACAGACACCATTGCTGTTGTGAAGAATGGAGTCATTGTTGAAAAGGGAAGTCACGATGTGCTTGTGAAAATGAAAGATGGGGTGTATGCATCATTGGTTGCTCCACATTGTTGTTCACAATAAAGCGAACCATCACTCTGTTTGACAGTCTCAAGTAACTGAAATTTTTGAATTTTGATTGAGTTATCAACATAGCTTTTACAGCATGCATTATTATCATCTGCATTCTGCACGACTTTGATAATCTCAATGGAGATTTTATTTATAGATTGAAAAAAAAAATACTAAATTGCAAACAACCCACTGATTAAATTACTACTAGTTATACAAGTCACTTAATCCAGTATCATCTAGGCTAGAAATTGTTGCCTAGACATACTTCCAATTCTTATCTTGGAGTTAACAAGATTAACCATAATTAAGGGAAAAAGAAAATCACGCGACGAAATATTAAATGTTTTGAGAGAGTGTTTTTAAGTACAAAGCAACATTGCAACTTCTGACATACAACTCCCTTCATTAATTACTATGTTTAATTGGCTAATCAATAAAAGGGCCTTATTTGAGTAACAAGAATCATTCTTCTACTCGTTTACACACATTTATTCAATCAAAGCAACTTGATTCTGGGTGCAGATAGCAGCTGCCATACCTGCATCCAAAAATGTTAGCAGATACCGTATTTCTCATTTAATGAACTCAGCATACATGAATCAACAACCGGATTGTTCTTACTCTAAATTCTCATGGCGTCGAGGTATGATTTCCCATCAAGTTCCCGCGAAAAAAATCCTTTCAAATAATCAACAGAGCTGATTCTTTTGAATTTTGCTGGAGTTTCTGGAGTCACTAGGCTTGGTGCTGGACCTAAATCACCATCTATAGCTGGGTTGAAAAATGTGGCAATGGAGAGCCTTTCTTTCTTGGAGTTGACAGTTGCTCGATGTTCAATGCTACGGTAAACTCCATTCGTCACAATCTGTCAAAGCATATAATGATAAAGATCCAATGGAAAGGATATAAAGACTACAGATCTCAATGAATACAACATAATTTATAGGCTATAGATGCACAAACTGTTGAGAGAACAATTTATAAATGGAGTGACTTTAGGCCATTTGATCATGTGAAAATACCTCCAAGACGTCTCCAATGTTGATAACAAAAGCATTAGGGAGTGGTGCAACAGGGATCCAAGCTCCATTTTTCTTAATCTGAAGACCATCAATTTCATTGACTTGGAGGAGAAAGGTGAGTCCAACTGAATCAGAGTGGGGGCAAAGGCCGGTAACGAGCTCCGGTTGGGGGCATGGAGGATAATAATTCATCCTCATTGCTTGCATCCCTTCTTCGAAGACCATGTTCATTTCCTCAGCTTTCATGTGTAAAGCTTTAGCCATTAGGTCTAGGATTTTCATGGCAAGGTTTTTCAATTCTACGGCATATTCGTCTATTGCATCCCTGCAAAAATCAAGAATAAAGGAGCCAACTAACAACATTTTTAGTACAGCTATCAGATGAGATTAGACAGTACAGTGTCTTCTTTAATACTGTCCAATCCACTACATACTAGCGATACATGTTTCTACCTGAACTTAGCAGGAAGCTTGGGAATTAAGTGAGGCTTTCTCAAGTGGACTGGTAAGGTGATTATATAGAATAAGTCTGCCCAATCAAGCTTTTGCTCTTCTGATACAACAAAGGCCTGTCCATAACCCTCTATGTCCCCTGATTCTTGACTAAACTTCTTCTTTTCCTCTATTGGGAGATTGAAGAATTCTTGAATTTCTAACTTCATTTCCTCCACCTTTGGAAAGCTAACTCCATGGTTGATCAACTGCAAGTAGCCAAGTATGATCATATAAAACAATATCCAACAGATAATATTGTTAGGACTTATGTTGTATTGATAATTCTTTAGACAAAATGATTATTATAAAAGAATATAATTGTTATAAAAGAGTTGTAAAAGTCAAGGAGTCTTTTAGAGGGTTGTACAAATGAACTAGGAGTCTTTGGGCTTGATTATGGAACAAGGAGAAAGAGTCGCTGAATTTACGATAGTTGCTCGAGCGGAAAAAACAGAATCATTGTTACTTGCCGTCGCCCAACTATCGCTCGAGCGACATACCTGTCGCTAGCTTGGTGCTCGGGCGATTGTCTTTTCGGAGAAATCCTAATTCGCGTTTTGCAAGAGTACTATCTATCATATACTATCCAAATACCTTTTATTATAAATACCCAATGCCCATTACGTTTTTGGGGTGTAGTTGATCATTATTTTACATCCTCATAATATCAATACAAGATTCAAGAATACATCCAAACATTGAGATTAAACTTTTCATTTTTGAGATCAATCAACCACGAGTAGGAAAAAACATCAAATTCATATAATCTAAAACACCCATTTTCTAGATATAATTAGGAATGTACTTTTTCGATAACTTTTAGAGGTTGCTGAAAATTGAAGGAGGTTGGACCAGAAGTATTGGAAAGAGTACAAAAACAAAGTATTCTTGGTGATCCACAGGAAATAGACAATTCCAAAAGATTGGAAGCAAATGTGGGTGAAGCACGTTCTAGCGAGTTTTGGAGATTATAGGAGTTAGATTAGGTTTTCTAGGCTGGATCATAATATAAGTTCTTATTGCATATAGTCCTGGAGTTTTTTACCCAGTTAAAGGTTTTCTCCGTGACAAATCTTGTGTTATTTACCTTGCTTTATTTATTATTGTGACAATTCAATATAGGATGACTTGATTAACTAAACATCTAAAACAACTAAAAAGTGAATTGTCACTTTTAATTAATAATTTTTAAATAAGCGTTATTCACATATTCACCATCTCTAGCTGATTTTAGGTCGAAGTCATAACTTTCAAATACTAATAAAAGGTCCTTTAACATGATATTAAGAATTACTGAATGACAATAGTGGTGTCAAACGTGTCAAGCCGCCGCGCCAAAGAACGGACAGGCAGGCCCGTTGCAGGGGCAAATAATGCTAAATGTTATAGTAGTTTCCGTGCATACCTGAAAGAAACCCCATTCTTGGCACGCAGTGTGCAGTTTTTGAAGCTCTGTATCCATTGAATCTTTCTCCATCAACTTTTGGATGTCAATCACAGGAATTTTATTTTCAGGTAAGGAGGAAATGAGATGATCTTGATTAGGTCGCTGGTATCTTGGTGGAATAGCGGTCGATTTCTCCTTGGCCAGTTCCTGCACAATAGGCACCTGAAAAGAACTACCCAGCTTTTTAAGCTTTGGCTCCATCTGCAGCAATTTTGCCAATTGCCTCTCTCCCTCTCTTATCTTTGATCTTCTCTCCAAATTACATTACATTTGTTCACTTAAATAATATTCGGCATTTGGCAAGAATATCGTGCTAATTTGGTATTTTCAAAGGTCCCACGAAATTATCAAAAAGAAAGTAAATATGAAAAACTTTTACTCGTAAGATTTATTTGTAGTTGGTCAACCCCTCACCGCACACCACTTGGCGTTACTACAAGACAATCTAATAAAACAATCAAGATTAGGTTTCAATAGATTTTTTCTTGGTTTTTTATGGTCAGATATCTCATCAATATCTCATCAGTGATAAGACATGTTTTTCTGATACAAAATAAAGAAAGGGAAATGGAGGCCACTACTTGTCTTCAACCTTAAATTACAAAATTACTATTCGTTCTTTTTTATTCTAAAATTATTGTTTACAACTTGCATCTCGTAGAAATGCTCCCAACTTTTTCAAAATTAAAATTCACTCCAAATGGCTGAAAATCCGCCCCACAAATAAGAACAACCGCAAAATCGCCTTAGAAAGATCTCTCCTGTTCCAACGATATACTTAGTGTCATTACAAGTAAAATTCATTTTGATGTTTTACACCATTATCTTCAATGTTATTCAAACTCGTTATTTTACAATGT